TATTCCCCATATTTTGGGAATTAAGGAATTAAGAAATCCGAATCCGTCGAAAAAAAGGTATGTTTTTTCAGAGAAAGTACGTTTTTGTGTTTAATTTCGAAACTTAAAATTTTATCTGCACTAATATATATATACATATATATAAAACTATATTCAGTGGCACGACAGCCCATAGAGGGCCAAGGCCTACTGTACCCATCTCAGTTTTCTTGACCTTGGGCTCTGGGGTGCAGGAGAAGATGATCTGGTTGGGTGGGGTCAGCCTAAACACAGAAATCTCATTGTTTAGTCCTCAAGCATGCTTGGTACACATTTTATGGATCCACTTAAAGGATAAAAGGCTGAGTCAACTTTGCTGGTCTGAGGATTCTTATCAGATATATTGTTTTAATATTCAAATAACTAATACGCAGATGAGCTATTTGAATCAAGACAAATTTTAACAGAAGTATAATATTTTGGAACTACTATAGAATGCTGAAAAAAATAAAAGTTATAAAACGTTTTTAGGTTGTAGGCTTGATAATTATAATGAATGAACATGTTTAACATGATTGTGCAAGCTTGCTTTGTATGGAAAGAACTTTCCGCAAAGAGAACAGCTGTAAGGTAAGGCACCAGTGTGTTTAACTTGATGCTTTCGCATATCATTGCTCCGAACAGTCGTATATGGACAGTGTAGACACTTATGCACCCTAAATTTTTTCCTTAAACATGACGGTTCTGCTTCATTAACGAACAAAATAGCTAAAAGAGAATTAAAAACACAATAAATTATCATACTACTCACAGTTATTATTATTAGAACTCATTAAAGATGAAATTGAAAAAAAAAGTTATTAAAGGGCTTAAGGCAACACAATGATAAGTCAAATATAATTTCATACATGTATAAGAAAATGTTTTTGACGAAAAACATTACAGCTTTCAACTGCGTGATCAAGTATTTCTATGTATTGTACTGTTATACATAAAGTGTAAATTATGGAAGCTTAAATATCTTTCTGAAATGAATACTAAGGAACAGTTTGATGTAAAAATGTCACTTTGGAAAAAGTGCAGCTTATCACCATTAGATTGACTTGGAGAGGACAGCTGGTCAAACTAATGGTAGAAATCAGTACTTAAGTACATGATGTTGTATCAATTATCTATTTTAAAAGCAGTGAATTTCATAAGCAAATCACTTCATGACAGGCATTTTCTTTAAAGCTTATTGGTGGTGAGCTTGAGACCCTTAAATTTTCTTCTGAAAAGGAAGCTTATATACTTGTAAAATAGCTTATGCTAGTGCTCGAGTGGAGAAATTTTTTTTAAAATATTTCATTCCATGATATGTTTTTAAAATAAAATGTACAAATATTAGACAAAAAATTGGAATCAGCGATTTCAAAACATTTTTCTAAATGCATGGTAAAAAATTATAAATGTAATGTCAATAATAATAAAAAAGGTGCAGCAATTTTTAAAAATTTTATAGCTTAATGTGTGTAGTTGAGTAACAGAGATGCAAAATCTGTTAACTATAGTTCTGGAAAAAATGA